TTTGGCAGCCACACCAGCAAAAGCTTGTCCCCCTGGTGTTTTTTCAGACAACAAGGAGTGACTGGTCCTTGTTGTCCACTTTGAGGGGTGTATATGTGTTGAAGGTCTGCCAGGTAGGAAGAAGCTAGGCAGCTAAATATTTTTTAATTAATTCTAAAATGGACAGACAATCAACGTAAAGAGGCAAGACCCAAGGAAATATGTTCATGTTTAGGTGTCCCTGTCAGCAGACAAGCTGGGTTTTTGGATAATTAGTAGGCGCAATAATGAGGTCTGATCAATACCAACAAAAAGTGCATTACGGTAATCAAGGTGAGTGGTCACAAATAATGTAAAACTCTCTAACTCACAAAAGTGATAAAAGACACAAGTTTAGAGAATTGCCTAAGATGAAAACTGTATTTATTTTGTCAATTTTAAGATTTATGCATATTTTTACCCCAAGGTCGGTAAAAACTGGTTCGTGAATCTGACAGTCATCTACATAAAAATGAAATGAGACATTATGTTTGTTAAATGAGAGCGCATCAAATAAATAAAAGAAAGGGGTCCAAGGATGGATCCTTGAGGTACACCACATGGGAGGGAGATGAACAAAACTTACCAAGTGAGACAGAAAAATATCTGTCAGGTAGGTATGACTTGAACCAGTAAAGGCAGGACCTCTGCCAACATGATGTTAAATGTTGTGATCTAATGTGTCAAAAGCTACTGTGAGATCTAAAAGCACAAGTATAACAGAGTCCCCAAAGTCAGCGGTTTGAAGAAATAATTTAAATATTTTTTTTTTTTAAAAATTCAAAAGTACTTTAAAAACTTGACTGAAACACCTCAAAAATATTGTATTTGGAAAAAAGGCTGCAGCTGTAAAGCCACTAGTTTTACACACATGGTACATGTATAGAGAATAGTTTTGATTTATGAACATCACAATACACAGTTTAACTGAAACCCTATGTGATATTAAATGGAAAATGAAGCAGTATAGTAAGTGTCCACACACACCTGCTGTCATCTACTTCCTATCTCTACCTTAGATAAAAAAAAAAGTTTCAGGTCATAATCCGCTGCCATCATGAGCTGCATGTCAACATACAAAAAGTGGAAACTTTTATTAAAATTGCACATCTTTCTATTTTCCTGTTGTCATTAGCTAACACCACTTCTGCTTGTTTTGGTCATTTTAAAAGTATTATGTCTGCAATAGCTAATTAGGTTTTAGAGAGACTACTAGCCTCATTAGAACAGGGCAGATTAAAAGAACTACATTCAACCTATGATATCTTGTTGCTATGATAAATACATATATAAATATATCGATAATATATGGTTTCAAGATCCAAAGTTTAAGAGAACAAACTTATGGTAAAATTTGCCATGCTCAAACTGCAAAGAGTGCATAACAACGTAGGGTAAGAGACATTTTGCCATAAATAAATAGATAGATAGATAGATAGATAGATAGATAGATAGATAGATAGATGTAATTAGCAGAGCTCAGAGAGGGCACATGAGGGTTGTTTTGGATAACCTTCAGTTTACTTTAGCACCATTCTATGACATTACTGGGATAGTGGACTGCCCCATTAGGACCCAGGTATGATGGTGGAGAAGTTTTCACAATGACTGAAGAGGATAATTATTTGACTCAATGTTCAGACAACCAGGAGCAGTAAAGCAGTAGATGATTAGTGATATCCAGTGAATGTGATGAGAGCTGTACTATAGAAACATGTTAGATTATATATAAGTTTTATTTCAATGTTATAATAAACCTTTATACGCTAAACATTTTTTAAATAACTATCAACAGTGCACCAATTAATGTGCTATGCTTGTGCCCCCTGTGTCATTCTGGGTCTCCTGTTAAAAGGTGTTTATTACCAGATGGAGAGAAAAAAGGGTTAAAAGCCCAAAATGGCCACCATACCCCCCTCCTCATCATCATCATCATCACCAGCAGCAGCAGTAGTAGCAGCAGCAGCAGCACCAATACCTCAGAAGCCCATCCCCTAGCGTCCGTGCTGGGAATGTACCGTGTATGCGCATGGGCGGAGAAACTGCCGCTGTGCGCTGTTATTATTGTAAGAGTAATTTCTTTTTTTCTTTTTCTTTTCTTTTTTTTTTTATTTTAAAAAATGGCGTCCAGTCAGGGAGGCGTGGGAGCTGTCACCGCTCTACAAAGCCATCACTATCCCACCGGACCTCACTGGAGCCCGGGCATCACACCGTTCCAGCAGCAGCACCACACGGCCCGAAGCCTGGACCGGGCTCTGGAGGATGCCGTGTGCTCGGGGATACTGAACCTGAGCGGCAGGAAGCTGAGGGAGTACCCGGGGATGAGCTACGATCTCACCGATACAACACAAGCAGGTGGGTTGGTGTGCACGCGTGAGGACTACAGGAAACAAAACGTAAACCAACAACAAAAAAAAAAAAACAGAAAACACGTACTCGTGGATGAATGCAGCATGCCCGCATTGTGCATGGATTTTATCTCGATTTTGTGGATAAAGGCGCAATAACGTGTAGGTGACATTATTTATAGGAGTATACCGTGTACTCCGCGGACTTCTGTAAATGCACATTTGCTACATCCTGCTTGTAATTACTGTCCACCGGGGCTCGTATATCTGTAGTTTAGTGCGCTGTTGTGTTGGTCGACGCCACTAGCTTTCAGCCCCCCCGCCCCCCGAGACACATGAATGAGACGGCAGGCGCACCCAAGAAGGCGCTGTGCAGTGGTTTGCACACCAAGCTGCAGCTGATTCGGCACGGGGCAGCTGGAGCACTACACGAATGAAGCCTGCGGCAACGAAGAGTGTGATTCTTGCTCAATGAATATCATCTGTGATGAGCATGTGCCACACACACACACACGCGCGCGGCTTTTTTCATATTCGGCACAATCAGACAAAAGATGCAGGGTACTTGCTGGCAGCCTCACGCCCCTTTGGTTGCTTGGCTGTTTATGCCCATATAGTGTAGCTCGTAATGTACCAGACAGGAGGAAGACACGGGTTTACTTTTGGTTTCACATGTAGGCTGATTCCTGTTTTAACCCATGTCTTTATTGGGCGATCTTTTTCTGGGTCACCCTTAACCGTAGTTAGTGGGTCAGTATTAGTGTCACGTTTTTCAGCAGTCTGTGTTATCAGTGTGAGGTCATACATACATAAGTTTTATTGGGAATGGCCTGACTTCAGTGGGTGTGCGTTTAATTAGGGTAGACATACATATATTCATCTTTTTGCACACATTTGGTAATTTTGGTAAGACTGGCTTGCTATTTATCATTCCCAAGCATTAACATGGGCATCTGGAAGATGCCAAATCTTAGAAATGATAGTCTCCTCCTCTGATGTGTCCATAGACCATCTGGTGTTAATCTGTCATCATGTGCAGCTCCTACCCTTACCCGTACCCCCAGGGTGTTAAAATCTTCTACTCCAAGATTTCAGAACCTCTTCACATCTAGACAGTCGTCTTTGAACACACCTAAAAGTGACTTGTTTAATTACTGAATCAAAAATAAAGCAAAAAGCACGATATGCACAGGGCTCCAGCCACTGAAAATCATTTGTGGGCTTGGTAGGAGGCGAAAGGTTTGCTGAACAAGCAGACATGTCTTCCAGTACTAAGCTATAATCCAACTATTTTCTTACATGGTGCTCTGCTGTTCTTAGTCATTAGTAATAGATTTGTGAGTGGGTTTGTCCACCCAGATCTATGGAAATTTGCTCATTTGATAGTCATATGTGCTAATTCTCCAGAATAAGCAGGACTTATAACAATACACACCATTAATAACCCAGAGGAGCTCAGGGCCTTTTTGTTTTACACAGATTGCCAGTCATGTTTCGTGACAAACCACAAAACAGGAAGTTTGGGGTGAACTATTTACAGACTGTTAGGCCGTCTTTGTAATGATCTGCTCTTCTAGCAGTCAGCTTTGCTCCATTGAACTTCAGTCAAAACATCTGTCGAGAGTTTTATTTATTTATTTATTTGCGTTTTAAATTTAGAAACAGCTTCTATTATCTGGAGTGCTCATTATAACAGCGATGAGAACTCGAAGAGGTGGGAAGGTTTATATTTCTGTGCCAGTGCAATTCAGGTGCTGTAAATGCTGCACGCCTCGCGCTTGTATCTCACGCCTTCATTTCACTCTGACAAATTAAAGGTGTGCCTGAAGGGAAGTGTCACTTTCAGATGTGCGAAGAGAGATCAACACCTCACGGCGCTACCCTTTACATCAATTGCAATCTCTGCTGCAAATAGAAACGGTGTCATTTTTGCTGGCTCAGTCAAAATCAGATGCAATTTAAAGTGAACTTTAATGCATCTTTTCTTATAAGTCTTTGCTGCAGCTTTCAGTCCTCACTGAACAGTACCAGCTCTGTAAACTAAGACCCAGCTTGTTAAGCTACATTATTTGTTACACCTGAAAACTGAAAGGCGTTTAAAAAAAGAAGAAGTGGCTCTTGATATGTCTCGTGATAAGTATAAAGAAGTGCTATTTCGATAACATCGCATTGCTGCTCTTAGAAAGCGAACGGATTCATCTGACGGCTAAGCAGCAACCAAAAAGGGAGCGGACATCACACGAGGGTGTCCGTTTGCAGTGTGCTGCTGCTAGTTTGTCTCCAGTCGGGTTGTTTTCCCACAGGGAAAGCGCTAAGAATGCTGCCCCGAACTTGTGTAGAAGTGCATGCGGGTTAGTGCATCTATCTGGGCAGATGTTCAGGTTCATAACCCCAGCATGCCTCTACCTGCCGTTACCCCACCGCCACGAGGTGCCTTCACCGTACCTTCAAAGGTGTGAGTTATTGTCAGATATTCAGCCAAGTTTACATCAGCTGTTTCTGTGACTTCTCAGGAAAGGGATTTCTTGGAGACCGTGATGACTCATTTATGGTATAATCCACAATACATGCATTAGATTTAGTGTGTGGTTTTATCTTCCATTTTTAATGGCTGTGCCACAATTGAAGATCGCACCTAATCTGTCATCACACTATAAACACTTCACTGTCTGGCTAATTACTCCGTCATCCACAAATAGTTTGATCTAATATTTCATGGCCAAAATGAAGAGGTAAGTGGGAAAAAAAGCGTGTAATGCAGTTTTTGTCACAAAAAGAGAGTCCGCATAATTTGGCAGCAAAAAACAAACCAAAAAGCCCACTAAGATACCAGAAGTCCTTGAAACAGGGGGCCAAAATGCAACTTGGTCATTCTTTATTCGATTTTGTGGGACTTTGTGTGCACAGTAAATCTCACAAGGTGCTGCTGCATTCCTTATAAGTTAAACTCTTCAAGGACGGCCTCCACAAGGACACAAGTATCAAGCAAACATTCTCTGCCTTAATAATCAACCAGTGTAAATACTGAAAGCGCCACAGCTCATTAAAGTTCAAGCAGGCTGACTCCCCCCAAAGGCTTTAAAAGTGCTACTCATTCTCTGTGCTCTGTTAAATCAAACATCCTCTGTCTCTCCTGAAAGCCTGTGCAGAACAGCAAGCGCTTCGGGCAACAGAGTCGTGCCATAATTGTGTCTTATATATGAGACACAACATGAAATTTTCTTTTAAATCCCTTTTTGAGAAAATTGTTAGTGTCCTTTAGTTGAAGGTAGTCTTTGAAAAAATATCACAGATAAAGGCCTTTACTCACCCACGCCTAGACTGGGTTATAGACGCAGGCCTGTATATTAATGATGCCACTGTTAAACATTTAGACTTGAATGTAAAATGATCAGACAATGAAACGGTGGTCTCTTTTCTGTGAAGCAACAGCTTAAAAAGCACTGGAGTTACAAACACGTTCAACAGAAGTAACATTCACATTTTAAAAAGGCACCAAGGACATGTTCACAGAATTTTTCTTTTAGTTCGCGGCTAGGCTTTATCTACGCCTGGGAAATCTGCGTGGCATATGTGCGTGACAAAAAGCTCAACAAACGAAGGTATAACCACAGCAAATTAGAAATGTGTGTGTGTCATATAACAGAGTGTGACTATTTTAGTGTCGTCTCAAAGTAAAAAAAAAAAAAAAAAAGTAGGATGTGTTAGAATTTAACAGGAACAATGTGGCATGTCTGAATTTTCCAATCAGACATTTGTAGTGTCCAAATTTGTGTAGTGTGACACAACCAGAGTGTCTGCTTCTTCATTTAAAAATAGGAACATGAATCAAATGCTTGACATGTGATTTAATTTCATTCAATTAATTTCTGGTGTAATAGACTCAGTGAAAAATTAATGTTGGGGTTAATATCTTAGGCGCTAAATGTATAATAAATAGTTTGAACAAAAATCAAATACTATTATATGTCTGAAAAGCCTATGATCATAGAATAGAATAAAATAGCCCTTTACTGTAAATAAAAATAGTAAGACAGCGGGAATAACTAACAAACAGGAGATATATATACAAAACAAGGGAAAGGCACACATTACAGATCAGGTTGCAAAGGACCTGGTCTGAGTAGAGTCCTTGTGAGTGGCCTGAGTGATCAGGGTTACTAAGACCATGGCTCAGATTGGTGGGTGGGTGGTCAGGGATGCGGTGTAGGGGGATAGTGTTTGTTTACAGATCAAATGGTCCAGGGAAAGAAGCCGTTTCTGCACATCTATAGTATCTATATCTATATTAATGTTGGAACACCGGGTGCTGCTGAAGCATGTCTATGCCCAATCCTGAAGCATCTGGATTGGGCAGAGATCAAAGGATGCGGTTCATGGATCAATTGGACCACGTTAGTGCCTGACAGTGATTACAAGCTCTCACAGACAACCCCTGCACAGTAGCTGAACAAACGCAGCTGATCAAGAGACTACCCGATCTCTAAGGCCAAATCTCACAAAGAACAATCTGCACGGTCCAACCCGCAGCACCGGACCACACCCAAATCCTGACAGCCACAGTGGCTGTGGCACATCTGCTGCAGGGTGAAAATTAATTAACCCCAATTAATCATCTCCTTGACCTGCACCTTCCATGTTTTCATTAAACTGAATCCTGCGGCATTATTGACAGAATACAGTAAATAGAGTATGATGGACTCATTTTCCTGCAGCTCAGAGACAAATAACTTAGTGATAACAAGCTGAATTTTTAAATAGCAACTTAAAGCTATTTTTATCCTCTCTTCAAAATCAGTCTCTTGCTGATCAGAGACTCACTGTTTGCTCCAGAAGAAAGCAAGACATCTATTAGTATTCATTTTGCTGCGTCATGGAAGGACATATCCAAGCAGCATCTGCACTACGAACACAAATGAATAGATTGATGATATGGCCTGATGGTGCCGTGGAGCCTTGGTGGAGTGCTTCTCTGCCTGGCGGGCCTTGTTCTGTGGGAGCTTGAGGCAGCAAGCTGGTGGATTAAAGACCCACTGTGCGCTGCAGATGGTGCGTGGCCTAGGTTGGAGGAGGGAAAAGTGGGAAAAGATAGACAGGCATATAAAGCCTGTCTCCACCTACCCCCCAGCTCCCCCATCACCCAGATGATTCAACTACTAACACAAAATACCCAGTTGTGGGACCAGATTAGGGTGTGGAGGGAGATGGGGGAATTGACTATATGCAGCTGAGTTACAGCATCAAGGTCCAAGCCTGAGGGAGAGGCAGAGTTTAGTCTTAATGGAAAGCGTGTATACCTTGTGACCTCAGCTTTAGTCTTTCCCCATGTGGCAATTTCTGCTTCCCTTAACCCTTTGGCTTCTTTTCCCTTTGTGCTGCTGACTGTGTCATAGTCTGCTTCTCACTTCTGCTTACTGACTGCTGTCAGAGCCCATAGACAACTACACAGTCAGAGCCTATCTGTGGAAACCTGCTTGAGCTTTAAATCCATATTATCTGACCTTAGTTTCCTATAAACACTGTCTGGACGTTTGGTCATTTTAATTGACTAGTTTTAGTTTGACTAGTCACTAGTTTTGCTGCAATTAGTGGCACTTTTGTTTAAATGCTATTGTGAGAAGCCATATTAGGAATCACACTAGTAGCACCAGAAAGCTAATCTGCTTTCATGTTAGTAAATGCATAAATACATAAATGCAACTTTCTCTTTACCCTGGTATTAATTAACCAACAACAAAAACAAGAATTATACCTCCAGACAATAACCGCTGCAATCAAATGTCCGACAAGTAGTGATAATGACTAAGATCACGGAGGACACTGACATCTGATATAAAGCACATGGAACAAATATCTAGTTTATTATTGATTCTTCAGTTTGTTTGACGACAGGCGGTTTTGTTCTCCTCAAACTGTCTTGTAATCTGACCGAATGGGGCGAAAGGTTCAACATATAGTATGTAATGTTAAAATGCAGGTAAATCAGGCCATTTCAATACAATTCGGGTCAGTTTCTTTTCATAGCTGATAACAACCTTCAGTAAAAGTAGAGAAGGTGTTTCATTGCACTGGGGATGAATGAATAAAGGCCTTACTTCCCATATTTAAATACTAGATACGATATCCTTCATACTAAACAGTAACCTTTTAATAGCAGGTAAGTGAATTTAGTTTCATTAAAACCTTTATACTGTAGCTCAGTTGTTTAATAAATAGTGGTGCCTATATGTAATTTGACATAATGAGGGGATGGAGGCGCAGCAGTGTTTGGTTTTCCCAAGCAAAGGATAGCGCACTTTGGTTATGTGGGACAGAATAATTGAAAGCCTTCTGTTTATCTGGAGCTCTGCAGCAGCAGCTCCTCACTCTAATTATCTTGTCACCCAGAGATAATTCACAAGACAAGATTGTTCACGCGTGCACGCATACACACACACACACACACACGGACACAGACACGCACGGCTCAGGAGGGAGAGCGGGTTGTCCACTAACCCCCTGCTACTCTCCTCATGTTGAAATGTCCTTGCCACAACACTGAACCCTTACACCGAACCCTGATGTATTATCCGTGTGTGAGCATGTGTACAGTAGAAAAACAGAGTTGTAAGACTCAGGTTGCGGTGTAAGGTGCTTTTAGAAAAGTGATGTGCCAATGTGTCCACATTCTCAAAGAATTAACTTGACTTACTGTGAATTTCCTCTGATCTAAACTACTATTTGCCCAACCTTTAAAAAGGCATTCATCTTAGTAGGTAGTGATTTATGTTACTTTGTAGCAGACATCCTCATAATGTAACTGTGTTAACAGATTTAGGTCAGTGAAACACGAGTAGAATACCAACAGCACACACGCAGACACGTACACACATAATTTATAGGCACTGAATCAATAAGTGTTTGACGGGGAATTCAGTGCAGTGCAAGGTAACCTTACAAGTAACCTTGTGTTTCTAGTTAAAGTGCACGGGGTTAGTGTCAGTGATTATTTAAGTGGAAATGTGGGCACGATCTAAAGACCTTTAAAAGAAAATAAAGAGTTAAGCTATCACAGGGCATATTTACATTTTGTTGGCAGGTAGCAGTGAAATTTAATCGTCATGTGTCAGTGGATGAACCGTCCTGTTTTTCCTCTTGCAACATAGGTTGAAGACTGAGCCTCAAAGAACACCAGCAGTATATAGGATAAACATTATTTAATATAACTTTCCAAAGTAAGTATTTGGAATACATGTGGAAATTCTGAATGCTGGCTGAGGACAGATATCTGCATAATGAGCTTAAGCATCTGTATCTGTATGCTTCCTTTATTTGACGTTGTTGGGATGAATTCAAAATATTTTATTACAGCAGGCAGATAAAAATAGGGGGTGGAAGCAGAGATTACATTCATGTTCCTGTTGCAGAACAAAAGCACATGCATGTAGCTCATTAATGCATGACTATGATTTTTTTTTAGCAAACTGCCTTCAG